TATCTCTCTCTCTCTCTCTCTCTCCCCCCATGGACGCACATCTGTATGCGGCATGATGTACGTGTCTCGCTCTCTCTCTCTCTCTCGATCTTTCCCTCTGGTTATCCCTGCCTGACTCTTTTTGTCTGCGCTGCCTGGGCAGTCCCCTGGCCATCCCCGGCCATCCCCTGGATTGGGGGCCATGCTATCGCATTGCCGTGTGGCTGCCACTCGCTCTGAAAAAAATGCGCAGTGTGTTCCTTCGTGTGATCTGTATTCATATGCATTACTAGATATGTATACGCAAATGCATATGGGTCCTTCTCCCTCTCTCTCTCTCTCTTTGCCTCGGTATCCCTTTTTCGTGATTATCTCTCTCTCTCTCTCTCGTTCTCTCTGTGTTCCTGTCTCTATGTCTCCCCCTGTATATATACTACTCATTTCGGTGAGCCCCTCACACTGTGCGACGTCGCTCACTGCGGTGAAATAGCCACCATGGGGCATGTCTCCCCGTCCCTCCCCCCCTGCTGTATCCCTTCCTTCTCCCCTCAGTATCTTTGCGCAAATCCGTTTTACGTGCACTGCGCACCCGCATTGAGCGCAGCCGCCCTCGCGCCAGCGGGAACACGCGATTCTAGTTTGGCTGTTTTCCAGGTCTCGGACTTCGCCTGCTGCTCATTTTCGGTGCATCACCCTTCCATTTTCTCTTTCCGCCATTGTCCTGTATTTCCCTCGTCGCCCTTTCCCTTCCCCTCGCCCGTTCTTCCCTCCTCCCCTCCCCTCCGAGTCCGCCCTTCCTTCCCCCTCCCGTACTCTTTAGCGAGCAGGGCGGAGGCAGCATGCGAAATCAACCAAGAGTCCCAGGCGCAGCGTGGACCTCGACGAAAATTACCAAGGCAACCAGATTTTGAAACCCAAAAGGCAGTACAGTGGATCAGAAATCCAATCACCACGTGGAGAAAAACATTCCCGTTTGATGATCGCTGGCAAGAAAACCCTGCATGATGACACGGCAATCCAAGCAAAAATCAGTCATTCCACACCCAAACGCGCTCGCTGTATTCTCGGATGTCCAGCATGCCTAAGGAAATATTGTTTTGGGAAGCTGTTTAGAAGGATTTATCGCAGGATGAGGAAGACCACCGGGAGGCCGATGAGCTTCAGAAACAATCGCCTCCCCACAGCACTCGGCTTCACTCATTTCCCAGGTTCCGGATATCACGAGCCGAAAACCACCCGGATACTTTCCCCGGATCGCGTTGTCTGAATTCCTGCGGGGCCGTGGACACGTACAAATACATGAAATTCGCGCTCCCGGCGCACTGCGCTGCTCTCTACGCGGCGGTGGCGGAGGAGATGGGCAACGATTCTGAGAACCATCAGCCTGCGGCGAGTTGTTGACAGTCTAAGAGGCCTCAAATTGCAGCGCGGTTTGGATATTCTGCTGTCCGACCAGATGCAGCAACCGCTGCAGCGGCACCAGGACTGGGGCGGTTCCCCTCGTCGCGCGGGCAAGCTCTCCGCGCGAACGGCCCGGGCACACGCCCGTGTCGCGCAGGCATCGATCGCTCCAGCGCAGGCCCGCGTACTGGCGGGGAGGGAGGCGGAGGACTGGGGCAGAGTTCACAAGCCCACTATGCAGCCTCCGTGTAACACGCCTGCGCTCTACGAGTGACAATAGCGACCCCCGCGCTCACACCTGGGAACAACGGGGAAGGCGAACTGCCGTGGGGGGCCGCGGTGCCGGAGCCACGAGAGAGGAGCGCGGGAGACGCCAGGGCGAGGATTAGGAGCCAACTCCTGGGAGGTCTGCGTGGAAACGATGATTCAGGGCTAGGGGCCCGATTAAACTGCCATTTTCGTCATATTAAGCCAGCATCGAGTCGGATTTGACAGGATAAGCCAAAATGGAGCGAGATCAGTCAGATGAGCAACGGTTTCCGACTGAGGATGTACGATATACCAGCGTCGCAGGTGCCGCTGTTAAACTTGACCTCCCAGGAACCGCAAACTATGCGACGACAGGACGAGGAGAAGCGGGACTTCTACCTGCGCCCATCCGCAAATGCCAGAGACAGGGCGAAGGCTCCGTGGTGGAGCCAGATCGTGAGCCAGACATGGGGGAGGGCAAGAGATGACGAAGAGGGGGGAAGAGGGAACAGGGACTCCTGAGAGAGCGCGTCAGAACTTGCTTTCTATTCCCAACGGGGTTCCGTCCATTACCCACCCATCCCACTCCCGTTGCAGTCAGGTCCGGCGTGTCCCCCTACAGGCGGATGTGGTGCGAAACATGAAAAATGAAGAAATACACGAACAATTCTCCAGATACTGGAAAACTCGTCCCCAGGCTATTTTTGGATTATGTTTGAATAATCCCCCTTTAGAAGGACAGGCCCGTCTCAACGATACCACGGGATTCCTGAGAGAGCGCGCCAGAACTTTCTTTCTATTCCCAGAGGGTGTGCCGTCCATGACCCCCTCCCCCCACCCCCGTCACAGTCACGATACCATTAGGTCGGGC